AATCTGTTCGATTTAGTCGGTCGATGCATTCTGTTCGAAATACTTCTGCGGGAAGGTGTTCGCACGAAATATGTGAACCTTTTACGTGCGCTATATTCGAACACCACAGATCGCGTCACGGTCTACGGTAACCTGTCGGATAGCTTTCCGATAACAAGTGGCGTTCGTCAGGGTTGACCGATTTCCCCATTTTTTAAAATTTCTTCCTGGACTCTAATTTTGGGTTCCCTTCCGGAATCTCACGATTGTAGGCGTTTAAATCCTGCCTGGTGTAATAGTAGTTGATCATGATTATGCGGACGATATCGCCTTTGTTTTTGGCGGTTTTGCCACGGCCCAATCAACCCTGAATAACCTATGTAGAGTGGTTCCTATATTTGCTATGCGCTTCGCACCTTCAGTGCAAATTGCTGCTGTAGGACCACCAGCCACTTGATTACGCTTTTGTGAGCGTTAAAACGCCTAGATCGGCGCAGCCACCGGTTGTCCGAATTCAAGACCGGAACACATTCGCAATCCCCGGGATAAGTAAAAAACTCAACGCCGGTGTAATTCGTGCTATTGAATAACAACAATAAATGCCAAGTGACAAACTTCAAACAGTTTCCTCACACACAAACGCAATAAAAACTTCAGCAGATACCGCGGAAGACTGATCCAAAAGCCAAGCATAGACAAGCACAAAATGCACGCAAGTGAGCGAAGCCGTAACCGAGCAGCACTGCTTCGAAGCAAGCCAATCCACCAATTGACTGTCTAAACGTATAGGTATATGCCGAGCAGTCAAACTCGCTTGATGCGGCAATGATTGATAGGGCAAAACCCGCCAGTAGCATAGTTTGGAAGATCGGTTGGATGTGAAGATAGACAGGTTCGGAACAGCTGATTGGCGGAGTGTTTGTCATGTGTAGACTATGGGGCGGGTTCCCTGCGGCGTCTGCGATGGGTCATTGGTAACAAACACATCAAATGATGAAGTGTGTAAAAGCAAAATGTGTAAGGCGGGTTTGAGTAACCATAAAGGGTGGTCTAGATGAGCAAAGTCGAATGATTTATCAATGTTCAAGGTGTAGGTAAAACAGGCAGCCGGGGTTGTGGCACATGCGGAAGAAAATGGGCTGTCCATGATGAGGTGTTGTGGAGGAACAATGAAGTTGATAGTTCCAAAGGACTGGGCAAATTGATCTCTCCGACACATGCTTGATACTTGATGACGAGGAACTCTGGGTGGTTGATCTATCCGCTTATCTTGGCAACTGCATCAGCAACGATGGGCGCATAGCAACTGAAATCAATTCGCGTATTGCAAAAGCTTGGACTGCCTTCTTGAACGTGTGGCATCTTTGGCAACAGAAGGGAGTTTCCCTTCGTCTCAAAGGCCGTGTATACAAAACCACAGTGAGGGCCGTCCTACTCTATGGAAGTGAGACTTGGCCCTTTCGGTCAGATGATTTGAGGCGTCTTCAATTCTTTGATCATCGCTGTCTGCAGAACATTGCTGTTGTCGGGTGGCACCATCGTGTCTTCAACGATAATGTGCGTGGTAGAGTACTAGGTTATGATAATCATGCTAGTTCCCTAGATCAACAGATGGCACTGAATATGTTGCGTTGGCTTGGGCACGTACCGCTATGCCCGGTTACCGCTTACCTAGGAGCACCTTGTTTAGTCTGCCAGGTGTAGGGTGGGGAAAGGCTCGAGGTTTACAGAAGTTGACTTGGCAGCGAGAAATGAAGTCACTGACGACCAAACTGTGTACCGTCGGTCCGTCTTGCTTTCCGGGCTGGAGTCCACATGACCTGCCTGGTGCTTGGCTCAAGATTTCACAGTTTGTGGCTCACAGCCAACACCAGTGGCGCGTCCACTGCTGTCTTCTTCTTGGACTGCCTGTTTAAAGTGTTTGGTGCTGAGTTATCTGCGGAGTAATGGCTGATTGTGACGCATGGCAGTGCAAGCGGCTAGGACGCTGTCTCGCTGATGCCGCCTTTGCACGATAAGCAGCTGTTTTTGAGGGTATGTTGGCTACACAAGGTGTAGGCGCCCTGACCCTGAATGTTTGCTTAGAGCATTGAGGTTTTCAGGTAAGTTCTCCTTCTCTCACTTTTATTGTTCTTTATTCCATAGGTCATCATGATTGTATGGCAGCGAAGCATCAGTTCAAATGGCTGATGTACTGCTGTTGATGACGACGATTGGAAATCTGTCGCTTGTGAGACTTGAGGATTGAACTGTGCCTATTAGATTCAGGGGAGTGACGGAAATCTTTATGTTCAACTGTATGCCACCGTCCTCAACGGTGCTGTCTAAACGGGCGGAACTTGTGGTATCGCCAGGAACCACAGTAGCGACAGTCGTATGGTGATTTTCTTGGACTAGCGTGGCTTGCATTGCATGGCTGTGATGACGACTTCTGCTTTTATTGGGCAGCAAAACGAGATGCCCTGTCAGTTTGCTGAATCAAGTCAGTATCGTGCATAACGATTAGAAGCCGCTTACCTTCTTGCACTAATTGTGTTAGTGTGAGGTTGGGTTGTAAATCGATCTTATCCAATAGTCTGGTTCGTAGGTCTGTATCATTCGATGACTGGAGACCACAGATAAAAATAAAGCATCGGAAACTATCCTCGGTAAGAGGTTCGAGCTTAAAACGGCCGCACTCACGTTTCTCAATATGAGCGTATGTGCAAACTCGTCGGCGTCTCATTTGACTAGCCGTAGGCACTCGAAAAATGAAATGTCCTTGGAAATCAGCATCAATGTCTGCATTGTCTTGTTGAAGTTGCGTGACCGAGGTTCGGCAGGGAGGATAAGGTCTGTGTAACGGACGTGTTCCACTGGGCCCAATTTCCGCAGAAGTGGCCGGACTTTGGTCTCGTCATCTCGGTTGGCCAGTTTAACCGAGAAGGTATCCTCGTATCGCTTCTACTATAATCCGAATGTCACCTGAGCTTACGGATCATACTGGAAATCAGGAACATTCAATGCGATTTGATCCACTGACGGCAGTTCTGCGGAAGAAGAAGGTTACCCCAAGATGGCGAATTTCGAAATCAGCATCTCCATTAGCATGATCTGAGGTTGCATCATCTGCTTCAAATCAGCATCAGCAGACATATTTGTGGAGAAAAAACTAACAACTCAGTCGTCAGATATGTTAAGGATTGGAGATCGCAACGGATAGTCAGTTGGTTCACACGCCTTACACTAGCTGGAAAAGCCCAAAGCAAAATGTTTAACTTCCAAGCAGGAGGTTTATCGCAGCTAAATAACTCAACCACAGACAACCGCCCACCTGGTAGAAGTAAAGCTGGGGAGTTCGAAAGCGCCCCGGATGAAAACAAAAAGAGAACCATCGATAGCGTAGTGTCTCTTAGCGAACAAGTTAACAGGAAGCGAATTGGAAACCGTTTTTCAGAGCGAGGAAAACGGCGCCAACAAATAAGAAATTGCATTGTTTTACTTCATAAAATTAATACCGAAATACAAATCACACAGAGAAGTCAACTACCACGACATCATCTACTGCCTATGGGAAACCTGCCCCCCAGACTCCATCTTTGTGCTCACTGGCGACATTTAACTGTTGCATTTCTCCCAGTTAATGCAACTTCGAATGCCGTTATGAGCATTGTTGTGATCTCCTGGACCGGCCCGTAGCCTAGAGTTTAACAGGCTTGTCTTATAATCTCACGGCGCAGGTTCCATCCTTCGTAGGAGTGGAACGATCCCCGCAGTATCCTTAGCCCGCGTGCTACCGGTGGTGGTTGCGCGGTAGCGAAGCGTCGATACTGTGTACCGGCTTACTGCTGATGTCCTCTTTTGCCTGCCTGGGCTGATGTTGCACTGTTCGATTGGATCCAATTCAGTGGTCGGATGTGAACCATTATATGAACTGTCTGGTTCCAAGCCATTGTTTATTTTGGATTGCCATCTACTATCCCAAAAAATTGTGGTGTGTCGGTAAGGATGACATCTATTGTCAGCTCAAGCAATTTCACGACTCATCGTAGCTAGATTACATTCCTGCAACATGCACAGCACTCCTGTCCAATTAGGGCATCATACGTACGGGCGTACACAAGGCTGTGGCTTGGCCGTGGCTCATTCCCAACTGGATAGAACTATTCTTTGAGCTTAGCACTGTCACGATGGCTTGCACTCTATCTCCATAGAGCCAATTAACTCTCCTATAACAAATAATCTGGGCAATAGTTTTCGGCAGGTAGGCATCTTGTCGACGTTCGCATCTGGTGCAGCCAGACCAGGGATATCGACCAGCAAACGCCATCAAAATGTGACGACATTATTCCACACTTATATGTACAGACCAACATCATTGACGATGAGGCACACTTAGCACCTTTGTCCCATTGTCGGTCTGATGTATTAAATGGAACCAGAAGCAGCGTACATACCATGCGCTGACGCTTATCCATTCAACTTACTTTTCTCCTCTTCGATATTGGCCTCTCGTGCCTCGGTTGAGGCACACACGACCGGATGTGATATAGCACCATGTGCTTAACGTGGATGAGGTAGGCTTAATCGACGCCTGTCGCTTGCGCAATGGGTGCTTTTCTTCTTGATTTACTAGTCCTTCCTGATGCACCAGAGCAACGGAATCCTTGTTGTGACCACGCCATTAGTGTCAACCCATTGCCACTCCTTCCCAACACCTAAAGTCAATATTGGTTCGTGATAAATTTACTTATATCACGTCGTGATAGCTTAACCTCGTCTTGCTTACATTTCGCTCATCTGCAAGTAGTTGGCCACACAGCATGCGCTTCGGTATTATGGTCCCATTCATACTGAAGACATGACCAAGCCACCTGAGAATCCAACTCAGCGCTACAGACTGCTCAGGAAGCAATAACAAACAGGCACCGTGCAACTTCGAAGCATCGAACCGGCCAGTAAGTCTGACGGCATACATCCGACTGTTGACTGCGGCCCAATCGATCACAGCAGCTTCATCTCCGGGACTTCGAGCAATGTCCACAACGGTTTGATCGGGATTTGAAGCTGCGCCATCTCTGCACATGCTCAATAAAGAATTTCCGCCAGTGTCTCACGATGGGGATCGCAATGTAAGCACAGAGCTGGAGTCTTACAGACGGGTTTCCAATAAACATCAGATATCGGCCGATAGGGTCTCGAGTGTTTGTGCAAGTGGTTCCTGTTAACCGATCTGTAACAAAGTATGCACGTTGAGGCATGTCAGTCTTAGCGAGAGTCGACGACTTCAAATAGAAACGGATGCATTAACCTGATCCGCATAGTTCGACATGGGCCGGGGAGACGCCTTGCGTATGCATGTGCTTTGAAACTAGAGGACACATGATCGCCGAAGCAAAGTGTGGATGGAAAAGTATTTGCTGGTTGATAAGGGGATAAAAGTCCTGCTGGAGCAAGACGTTAAGAAAGATAAGGAAATTATGGAGAATAAGAAGACAGATCTGAGCAGTAACGTAACCACCCATTTACCCTTTTCGATGCAGAAGATACAGCGCGGTTGATTATCCCCCGCCACAGCAGATCATTAAGAAGTCATGTGAAGAGCTTATCATTGTATTCCATTGGCAGGTGTTGTCAGTCTATCTAAACCTAGACTCGAGTTCTAAACTGTAGTCTTGGGTTAAGAAACCTGACTGCAAGCCAGCGGGGCTTTGGCACTGAGCTACAGAGTGCGTTTTGTAATGTAGGAAGCCACCCTCACTCATATCCCCAACCTAGAGGGCCAGGAAACTGAGTTCGTCTGGTCTCTAACTATTGCGCACTCTGGTACGAATAAATCTGAAGACGCAAAATGCACAACCCAGTGCAGCTCAATGAATCATTTATGCCTGCAAATCATCGCATTATATTAAGGTCCAGTCTCATCGTGTCGTCGGTTCGGTGGATCGACTTTGCCTTCACAACTGTTCGATTAAGAAAGGTGTGCCTCATAAAAACGTCAATATCATGATTCCGCTTTATGCGTTTATTTCTTGTAGAGTTGGGGCTTATGGCAATCTGTCACCGTCCTCCAATATCTCCAGCGGTGAGACAAAGTGGCACGCTTTTACCTATCCTATTTAACCTCGCTATTGTCAAAGTCATGCAAACTGCTTTCAATGGGCACGACCCGGGAGTTGTGAGGATTCTTCCAAGCGATCGAAACCTTGGATTAGAGCTTACCGAGGACAAGTGTACTCCAAAGTTCAGACGTTATGTCCGCGCCAAGCAACACTGGATGTCAGGCGTTTCGGGCTGTGCTTTGCACCCTGGAAATACAAACCCACCCCAAGATTGGCAGGGACCACTTTCTGCACTGGCCCTTGGTCGTGGTCGGTTAGATGTCACTCAGAAATTCGACTTTCTGGACACCTGTATCAGCGCTTGTCGAACAGAAGGTGAAGTGCTAACTGCTATAGTCAAGGCTCCAGGCGCTTCCGCTCAACTTCGCCAATTACTGCGCCTGCGTGACGTCACTTTCGCCCTGAAGCCCGGAGTCTACATTGTAGCTGTGTCCAACCCTATTGTACGGCTGCGGAATCTGGCCTATCAGGGCGACACACCTAAAGAAAATAGCCACGCTCGACCATCGCTGCCTTCGTAGTTTGGCTCATGTGTGGCGGCAACACTGCGGGAGCAATAATCATGTTCGGCGTCTCGTAATTGGTGCAGGAAGAGCGAGTGAACCGCTCAGCACGCATCACGTTCCAGTGGCTAAGCCAGGTGTCGCGCATGCACACCGACTCCCACGTCTTGCGTTGTTTGCGCGTCCGGAGTTTGGATGGATGGTCAAGAAGCACCAAGGTCATCACTTGAAGTTGACCTCAGTTACTGCGTCCCGACTTCATGGTTTAGGTCCGAAAGACGATCAACATTTCTTTGAAAACACTTGTTGCCATGCTGTGAGCCGGCATTAGTGGCGTTTTTGCTGAAGGTTCCTTTGTCTGTCCTCATCCTGCTTCGCCTCTTCCTCCAACCACGATCTCATTACCGATGCATACTGATAAAAAACGCTAATATTACTCGTATCTCTGTGATGTATACCGTTTTATGATTTACGTGCTCGATAATTTCACTGCGTTGTAGTGCGGTAAGTTAGCTGCTTTTCTCACTTTCAGATAACGTGTAGAATGATTGTGATGTTGATCACGATGGTCGCGTGGGGGATGCTGCGATTTTTTTCAATTGTCTTGCTTTAGATGGCGTGGATGTCAGCAGTTGAATTTAAGTGCAACCAGGAAGCAGTACGGAAAATTTACTTATGTGATATCTTGTTAGCTATCTTTATGACTTTATTGACTTGAATGAAAACCGTTTCTGCAAGTAACTGCACAATGTTTTTCTAATTTAGACTGCATTTTACACCTTTTATACAACCATGTTTCGTCGTTTTGCTGATAATCCATCTGTGCTCCATTCGAGGAGTGTCGTATTATGTACACCAGAAAGAAATCGGTTATTTACTCGGCAACAAAGACCACATTTCGGTGCCACGCTCATTTATCCCCTGCTGAAATGCGCTGCTCCCTGTGTTCATTGCTGGCCACTCCGATTTCTCAGTCCTTTAATCCGTACTTGCTAATGTTTTGTTATTCTCTCGTGATCGTTTTCACTTTCCTTGCTTTCATTTTGAGTTGTTAACCAAGCAAGGTCTAATATCTCAACGCCACTTTATCTTTAACCCCTGTTTTTCCAACAAATTCACAGAATCGCTGATGTTTCGCGTGTACATTGTTCGGGCTACCATTGGTCGCTACTAAACTCGATCAGACGGCTAACGCACATCCATTAATATCGTTGTGCGGCCATTTGATCTCGTTTAGCCTTAACAACAGCGTTTACCTCCTCTTATCCTTTTGGATCTTAACAGACAACTATCTTCTGATGAGGCATTAACACATGCCACTGATTTATAGGCGACGATGATGGATTGCCAAAGTGCTTACGACCTGCCATCCAATCTGGTTCGCCATCCGTTGCTATGCATGTTATTGGTGTGCGGATGGTAAATTTTGACCTCGGTGCTGCGGCTTTTCTTTTCCAGTTGCGAACCTTCTTATGGTATCACAACTTTACTGAATAATTGTTGTGGTATCTCCTTTCCTTAGTGAAAGTCAACAGAAGCGGACCCGACCTGATGGGTACATGACCCCGACATCTGAACCCACTGCACCTGAGACACAGAAGCATTCTTCAATCAGTGTTCAAAAGTAAGTCTTGTATTTATGTGACCGTTCTATATAAATATATAAATAACTGGTATATTCTGGACAGTGCGATGCACGCCTGTATGGGCATGATCATGGTGAAACTATACGAATGATTGACGACTGTACACAAATGTTACAACTTTACCGGTAATCTTGAACCTATATTGTTTGAATCTATGTATGTGAAGGTTTGTGGGTATGTGGCTGGCCACAGTGACAGACAAATCCGAAACCGGATGCCGCGAACCATGTGTATGTAGCCGTGCCTCATGCTGAGGTTGATGTCGCATACATCATGCTTCTTCACAGTTGGGCTACACGGACTTACACTTAAAACTACATCTTAATCTAGATAAAAAGTATTCTGCTTTTTGGTTTGCTTACTTCTATTCTTCTGTTGCATATTTCGTGTCGACTTTGCGTGCTTACTTTCTTCAAATTATCTGTTGGCTGTTTGATATTCCTGGTCTGGTTGCGCTTGATGTGAATGTTGACAAGGCACCTACCTGTCTATCACCCTCCATCAATTATTGGCTCCAGAAGACAGTTGGTCGTTTCTAGAGAGGCCGGGTGTACAGTCCGTGTGACGGTACTAGGCTCAAAGACTCGTTCCATGCATCCAGTGTGGAACTGGTTACGGCCCAGCCACCGCCTTATGTACATCTGGTGTGCATGATTTCCCAATTAGGCCGGAATACTTCTGTTCTGTTTGTTAAAGGAGTGTGGGCCGACTCAGTTGATGAAACGTGGCTCCCGTCCACATGCCTCCCGGTCTTATTCTTTCGGGTTTATACTAGATATGGGGTATGTGAGTGGTGCAGCGCAAGCCACCCATGGTCCATCTGTAGGCGCACGCGTCCTGTGGCTGTTCTATGGATGCCGCAGTGACAGACAAATCCGGAACCGGATGTCACCAGCCATATGTATGTGGTGATGTTGCTTGGTTTTGTACATGTGCTGCTGTATTTGTGCTTGTGTTCGGTCGGATCGCCAGTGTGAGAAGGGATTTATAGATGCCTTCATGCTGAACGACTGACATCATCGGAGTGAGCAGGATCATTTGGGTAAGCGAGGAGCAAGGAGCGGTGACTGTATTTGTGCTGTGTCACATCCACCACGTCACAGTGTGGTTAGTCAGAGGTTTGTGGCTTTTATGGGGAGAACACTTGTCAGGCTGAAACCCTCCATGTCGTGCAACACTACCTCCGAACTATTCGCTGAAACGAAATTTACCCCAATCACCTAGCTGACATCACGAGGACGTTGCTCGGCGAGCCAGTTGACTGTTTTCCGTTTGTCGTACAAACATATTTACACATTGCTAACTGACTAATACTTTAGTAAATACAATTTTCCACTTTTGGCTAATCTACTTTTTAGAATATAGCCTGTTTTCTCTTCCTTTGGATTTAGTTCTGTTACGTAGCGGGCTAGCTGCAGTGTTTAAATAAAATAAATTGTATATTCATCGACGATGCGAGAAGCTGTTCCATAATAGGGACAGATCAAATAATGGTACAAGGTACAAGTTTTCCATGACATTTCATTAATACATATTCAGAGATAAACATGGGCGCAATTGCAAATTAGGTAACAGAGTAAGCAGAATTGTTCTGCTATTTTTTTCCTGCCATTGAATCAGGGTTCTTCACAATCACATGAGAGATATTTGGGCGGAGACGAAAAAGAAATGTAATGAAAGGGGCTGTTGTCCGAATTGTTATGTGTATGTGTTTCGGAAATTTATTCAGGCACCATGGATATCGTTTTCGAATGCGTTATCTAGGGACTGTGATGTCCCGAACATCTTAATCACGTTTTGGAAGGTTAAATGCTTACTAACCACAAGCTTAAAAAGTTGAAAAGTGTATAGCATGTTCTGATGTCACTTGGAATTTTGTTCCAAATCTTTGAGTATTGGGTTAGAATGAAACGTTCTCTGATTCCTGCAGTAAATTTTGGAATTATGACCTTTACTTCTTTGTTACATATTGGATATCTACTCTTTGAAGTTATATGAACACCGTTTTCAAGACTGCGAATTTGGCAATTTATGATTCCGTAAAGAATACATAGGTTCAGCTTCAGTATCCGAAGCCAAACTGGGTCAAATCCAAGTTTATCACATCGCTCTCTGTATGTCAAGCTTTTCGTGAAGCGTCTCTGAACCCTCTCCAGAGCGTACTGGTCAGATTTCCGCAGATTAGACTGTACCATTGAACAGTATTCCATACACAGCAATACAAATATTTTGTAAAGTGATATGCGAGATTCCATGAGGTAAAAATGATGGCAGATATACCCGATGATCTTAATGGCTTTTGAAACTTGAAAGTCACAGTGTTCAGAAAAGTTAAATGTGACTGAATATCGCACGCCCAAGTCACGCACTCCCCTGCATTGCGAGATATATGCGCCTTGTAGTAATAAACTAACTTTAAATTTGGATGTATGCTAATAAACAACCAGATAGTGACATGCTGCTGTTAGACGTACACAGGGAAGATGCCATTAAAATATCACCAGAGTTTTCGACTGTACCATTGACCACATCGCATCTGCCCTCATATGAAGTCAGTCTCTGTGCACGATGACAACGACGCATGTCCAGGCCATCATGATCCGTAACGTTAAGTCCTGCGGTTGGCATCTGTGTCCCACCTGAAAGTTTTTCTTCAGTATTTCAAGAGTTTATTTGATTCCAAATAAGTTTGAGTTAATAGGCACAGAAACAGACCTGGAAACAGTCCAAGTCGTTAGTTGCTATTGTTCCAACGGTTATATCGCTCACATGTTCAGTTGGCTTGAAACTATGACTCACATTACTTTTGTTCACAACGTAACCATCTTTATAGATGTCCATTTTAACGGGGTCCATCTTACATGTACTTCCTTAGTGTTTGGCGCGAAGCCTCAGTTGAATTTGCTTTTCCCATCAGAAAACAGCGCAAGGCGCTTTTGATTTGAAAGCAAACACCCTTGTAGCACCATGTTTTCGTGTGAGATCCCGATGATCGGTGCATCCAGGAATGATGAAATCGCCTACCGATTTGTGAATACTCATCTTGAGGTGAACTGACATTGATACGTCTCATCCGCACATTTTCGAATTCACTGGCTGCAAAAACTCAATCCTTTATTCATGCCAAACAGGAAAGTATGCACGACTGTTGGATTTTATCCATTTTACCACTTCATGTATACTACTTAAGAAACCAGCTGAAGTTTGCACTGGCTGTCCTGCAACATTGACATAGTGGCTTTGTCGCTCTTTGAAATGTGTCGTCTCACCATTACACTACTTTAGTTGAAGCTCTGCGGATTTAATCGGTCGATTCGTCCGGGATGCGATCATATCGCCCACTCTCTGCTTATGGAAGGCAGCATGGATTTTGCCTCTAAATACCGCTTCGATTGTAATATGTTTGATCCTCGTAGGTCGTAGTCCTAAGTCGCTGCACACATTCTGGAAAAAATCGAACATCATACGTACTTTTTGCTAATTGATGCAGTTCAGTATGTTTATCTTATGTGTTGGTGATAGCTATCCAGTTTTTTTAGTGTCTGCTGTTCCTTTTAGCTGTGTTTGTGGTCACTTGTCTTGACCTAAGTCAACCTCGCCATGCATAACTATTTCCACATACTATGCTGACAAGTCTCGGTTTTACATCAGCCTTGTCTTCCAACCATAGCTATCCTAACGCAAAATATGGCCGTCAGCACAACAATGAAGTGGCAACATTTCCTTCGCACTCTATCCAAGGTGGCGAAAGACAGGCGGAGCCAGGATTAATCGAAACAGCTGGTGTTATTTTGCATTTCGCTCTGCTTGTGATGTCAGGTTATTGATGCAAACACATGTTCTCTAACGATTTCCCTGAACTACCTGCACCACCTGTTCATATTTCCATCCTTCAAAGATTATTGACCAGATGGTGTAAAAAATCCTTTTTGCACCCCCACAGCATTGATTCTGTGTACAATGAACACATACTGACCATTAGCCAGTTACAAGACGATGTGAAGAACTTGAAACGACAACTGGCTATCAAGGACGCCGATTTATTGTCAAAGGACAGAACAATCGCGGAGCTTAAATCTGAAATGATCGACATGAAGTCATCTTTTGATGACCGCTTGATGAAAGCCAAGGCGGCTGCGCAATTAGAACAAGACCGACTAATGGTATGTTCACGTCGTCTTATTTAACTTGCCTGCCGAGGGCTCAATTCGAAATAATCACTCACTGATACTCGAGACATGTTGCAATAGAAAAGTGAATCGAATCATTCGGCATCAAGGGGTTTCAGGCTCATATCATGGGAATTAACGTAAAAGGCTGAGATATTTCGGTGGCTCGGTGCCCGTATTTTGCAACTTTGTTAGTGATCGTTTGTGTCCATGCAATTAGCACTTGACTCATATGTATTTAACCTAAGCCCCGCAGCTCCATTCCATGAGATTTGTTTTTCTTTACTATGTGATAAGTCCACAGCTTACTGCTTCAATACAAATGGGTCTGGCAAATGAGGTGAACTTCCCACTATGTTTCAGTACCCATTTTCCACTCTTCATGTGCACAGATGGGTCTTTTGAAATGATATAGTTCTAGTTCATATTTTACGCGAATACATTGCCAGGGCTCTTATTCCATAGGCGCTCTTTATTTAATAATAGTAGAATTCACTCTTTTTGCTTCTCGAAAGCACAGTAGAAGAACTTGCTATCCTTGCGGTGCTCGAGGATGCGAATGCATATGGAAGTAAGGCAGCTATATATGTATACCGATAAAAGTATGGACTAGGACGTGCATTATCTATACACCAGAGGCATTAGTGGTCCGATATTTGTTCACACAGTTTCCTATTAACCCGCCTGCCGCAACGACTGTATTCTTCATGGCACCCGAATTTACTCAAATTCGGTTAAACATCGGCAAGTACAGCGCCTTGTTTCATTTGACTCGATCCCCCTGCAGTTGACGATCATTTTGTTTTAAAGGTGGCGTGACGAGCCGATAGGGCAGGATCGTCGCAGTCAATATTCTGACGCTGCTCATCAGGACAATACCACGCTGACATGTCTTTTGCTTCCGTTCACCCGTAATGGCGTCCTTCAGCTCAGTAGGTACTTGTCCTTTTTTGTGCATGCAATGAACCAAGTTTTTGAGTGCGTGAACCATCAAATATTCGTCACTCATCAGTATTTCCGGAGATATTACATCAACTCTGACTAACCTACCAATTCGCAGTTGAGAAAGCGGTTTCTACGTGTCGCTTGGTCCTTGTGTGTTAGCATGTTCTTCCTTCACACGGTGCCGTGCAAGTGTGTCCCGGGCAACCTCCAAAAAGATTTTCAGGACTTGGTCGAAACGCCTGCATCACGAGTGCGTTATATCCGCGAGCTGCGTATCTGTATCACCGTATGCACTATCCACCGGTCTACCTTTATATTGCTATTGAGGTATCATGAAGCTCCCTATACTGGTGGTTTAAGATGTCTCTTTACAACAGAACTCGAATTGTCACCTGACAGACATTGTGGGACTTACTCCGTTTCGATCGGTTCTTTTTAACATGCAGCAAATACCACCTTTGTTTGGTATTAATGCACCAACAACCACTTTGTTGGCATTGAAGCAAACGCCACCGCCCGTCTCGTACACATCAGTGGTTATCTGCTTCCTCAGTTTGTCACATAACGCTGATTGAATCAGTGGATCGGGCATCACCAAACGGTATCATGTTTACATCCTTCGTTCGCATATCTTCCCAACGTTACTTAGGACGTGAACGTCAAATTTCTACCGGTCCACGGTTTATGAGGGTTATACAGATTTACGAAAATATCTGTACGCTAGTGCCTGACCGCTTCCGCGATCAGCTGCCCACAGTGACCGTCGAACCTTGAGTGGCCCACAGTAAGAGTAGATGTGCCCATTGAATATCATTCGATCTGGTTACGTCTGCCACGCCGAATGCACGCGTTGTAATGGCCAAGTGGTCCGTCTCTCCGCGACACGGATCGTATCACGGAGGACAACTGAGAGTAAAACTAATTTTTTGTGTCATCGCATTAACTCATGCTGGGACTATAGATGCGAATAAGTGTTGCAAACTTACCCTGTCCGATTTGCTTAGTTCCTGATGGACCCTCTACCTGACTATAAGGCACGTAAAGTGGGAACTACGGGGAAAGCGATTCCACCTATCTACATCGTCTAGGACAAAAAGATTGAATAAGTCGAGCGCGCTCCTGAAATAGAGGACCACATTACTGCTGTTTGTGAGGTTGCTCCTGCAACTGGCGTGTCGGTCGAGATTTACCTACCATCTTTTCATCCAAAACTACAGTCTGCATGAGTGTGGCAGGTCATGGCCGTAGTCGGTAGCTTCGTCATTACTGTCATCAAGCTGACACCATACCGACAGGCACAAGCGTCGCGACATAGCTTCTTCACTCCCGCCACTGTGATCGACTCACCTCTGTGGATTATGACGATCTCCTGCTTCCGTGCCTGTTTAAACAACTGGGTCATTGCTTGGAATTTCACCAGTATTCTTAGATAGTGCGGGCGCGAGGTAATCACTTCCGACAGAGAAGAATTAGAGTAATATTCTAACTCCAACTTCTGGTCAGACTTCCAGCTCTACCACTTGACTATGGTTCAGTTTTCGCCAATTGAACTTAATGTGTCGGAGGTAGGAAACCAGCGAAAATGCCCCTAAAAGTGCCTTATCGAACCGGACGACATTTCACATTGATGGCAGTGCGTAATACTGTATCGAGTGAACCCATCGATTTTTGTGTCCCTGGGGCTATCAGTATGGTGCAGTTGAAGTGTGGCGGTGATTACCTGTCACTTCTACCTCCTCCACAACTTTTTCCATCAAACCCGCCTGTTTTCTATGTCGGCTTCACGGCTTCGTTTTAGCCGTCTTGGCTAGTGTATGCTGTTTCATTGTGTTTGTTGCCAAGCTTTGTTCCTCTATATCTCAGCAATCCTTTCTTATATATAGTATTTGATGCTGTAGCTATTCTTAGCGCCACGGGAAGAATCCCCGCCACTGTAGGTAACAACAGAAACCACATTTCGCCAAAACTTTATATCTTCCTCGTTAATGTCGAAAGTATAGTTCACAAAGTACTTCGGTAAACGTATCTAATCCTATACCGAGGCAGCTTTTTGTTCCCTTTGCACAAATCAAGGGGAATAGTCTGCCGACAAAGGCATAGTCCAATCACATGCCCGAATAAGAGCATCAGTCGAGGATGGAGCTGCTATCTAAGGCCGATGATGATACGTCCCCATTGTCGCCAGTTTGCCGGACGGTGCCAATTAGCTTTCATTTTATCCAGACGCAACACAGCTTAGAATCAGTCGATGTCCCGTCCATAGCTGTGATAAATACTCCCCATTGTCGGTACGCTCTGAATCCGGTTCAAACTTGCCGCTAGTCTGATCCCCTAAGAGCCTCGACGACCTACCTGCGTATTCATGCTCCATGCAAATGGGTCTGCTGGGTGCATTACGCAGCTGTTCGCTGTGTTTGAGGTACTTCTCTTTGATAATACCAAACCTTAGACCCTTGGATTACAGGTGCTATGTATACTCTTTCGGGTTTCTCCAGGCAGCGGATCGGGAAATGCCCTCCTTTTGGAAGTAAGTATGAATTGAGTCTCGCTAAATTTGCAGGCAATATGAATAGGTATTCCTCATTTGTCCGTTCCGAGGCTGAGTTCAGGACGATGCACCGCTTCCAACAATGTTCAAACCGGGGCGGTGAGCGCTTAAAAACTGACCGTGAAACACAGTCGTGCAAAAAAGGCTTTTCTAATTTGCCTACTAACAAGTACTGAACCTCGAGCAAATCCAGCGATAGATACCGTCAGCTATTGGGCTGTGCTTTATATGAATTTCTAGCACTTGTAGCCACGCTTCCTCCGAAATGACTGTTCGTTCGGGTATTCAAGGATATCTGAGCGGTTCCTATCGGCTTATATGAAACTAATCTCGATGTAGTATGCCTCTGTGTACTTGTGTTGGTGCAACAACCATGTCTTTCACAGAGCGCAGCTGCACAAGCTTTTCTTTGCATTGTTCGGTCGTAGTCATAAAAGCGCACTGGTCATACTGTACCATTTGAGGCTGGCCTTTCAGTGATGATAGACTGAAACCGTGCTAGAGGTTGCCAGAGGTGCCGGAGGTTGACAAATGCTTCCCTGGTTTTGGAAATGCGCGCATTGGTCTCTTCCATTAATCCTTCTAAACTAAGTTAGCTCCCAATGGAAATGAATTTATGAATTAGTTCCAGAGTGGAGTCCGATAAGATGAGAGTAGGACTAGGTTATTTTGTTAGTACACCAGGGAAACTTGGCACTTCAAATTGTCAAAGGTCATTCCGAACTGCAATACGTATCTCTAATCTGCGCAGCGTGTTTAGAGTAGCGTACGAGTGATCGTAGCTCATGACTGTGGTATATCCCAAGACTATGTAGGTTTCAAACCGCCAAGTCGACCGTGCGGTAGCAACTTTGTGCCACTAAGCCCACAGTTCATCAGGGCAATCCAAGCATTACCAGTAACAAAGTTTCACGATAATGCGGACAACCTTTTGACTCCACGGATGATACCGAAGAATTTCGGATGACCACTGTACATGGGACCCCAGTTTGACGGATGTTGACAAACCACCTAAGGGGTTTTCAGAATGAAACTCTCAACTGAGTCAAAAGGAGCACCGATATCCAAGAGGCAAACGAATGTAGGCTGACTAGAAGCTCGACGGTGCCGGAGTATCTGGCGAGTCGTAAATGTGTATGATCAGTACAGCCCCGACGTAGACGAAAGCCAGCTTGATCTTCACATCTGCGCCATTCGCTGCTCTGCATGAGGTGCTGACCCATCGACAGTTGGTGCAATAGGTTCCGTCACCTTTTTGAAGAACAGGCATGATGTCCGATAAGATCCGTCAGACGAGATGGCACTTATATGGTTCTATTTTAGAGCGTCGTAGCTACTCGTTCTGATCTTAGGGCGGCCCGATTTAGCCGGTTTCTCACAGACTCCCACGTAATGCGCCATGGTATGCCAGAACACGATACTGAAGGTGTAGGCTGTATTTGCGAAGTATATATCAAACCAGACACAATACCCCGATCAGGAAGGCGAACGCCGAAAGCTC